TTCCCTGTCCTACTTATGACGGCCGCTCGAAGGGCGTCATACGGATTTTCCTTAGGAATATCTTCCAACAGATCTTCAACTTCTGTTGCTACATCACAAGGAAGATGCTGGACAATATAGGAAAACCGAGTGGCTTGGGAAGTGGTGTGTCGGGTAGCAAGAACGGCCTCAACCTGGTGAAACCGTACCCTCGGGTTGCGTGGATTGTAATCTGGAAAACGTATGCTAATTGCATTCTCGACTAAACCCGCTGAATCAAAGTGTGTCTCCATAGTTATCGGGTAAAAGAAACAAAATTACGACGGCTTGAAAGAAAAAGCTTTCAAAAAATTATCTAGAAATACTCGGGCTCACCAAATTTGTAGTGGTCTGGCTACCCAATAAGTTAGTTTACCAGGAGTGTGTGGCAAAGAAATAAAAATGATTGCGCTAGGTTGGGTATACACAAATAAAGAAGTCAGATGGAACAGACTCACTAACAATTGTTCTCTTTAAAATAGTTCATCGTTGGCCCAGGTCAGCGAATGAACAACAATCCAATTATGTTGGTCCAGAGGTCTTCTTCTCAACAGTTCCCACATATAATAGATTCTGAAGATGTCTGAAATGTTTTGGTACCAGAGTTAGTACATGAGACTCCCGAATGACCGCTGCAAGCGCGAGCGAAATCAGAAGAGAGAGTCGAAGCACGTGACCACGCTTGTATTCTGTGAAATTGTACAAGTGCGCGTTTTTGTAGTTTTTCGTATTCAAACAAAAAACGATTACGCAATGGATGAAGTACGTAGTGTTATAATGGAAGTGAAATAAATGTACAATACTCCACAAAACATACTGCCTGCGTTGAGTACATGAAGAGCAGTACTAAACTTTTTTTCATTTGTGCCTCCTAGATGAACGACAGCAGCCGAACGACAAGAACAAAACCGACCCGGGAAACTTGGGCAAGAGCCTCGATCCTGTGCATCAATTCGTGAATACATGAATTCGTCAAGGAACTCCAGTTACTGATGGGACAGGTTACGAAGATGAATAAGCCCAGGCACCCATGAATTAAACCAAAAATTTCTCACCAACTAATATTCAAAGTTTCACAGTCAATGAACAACAAATGAAACCATCGAAGGCATTCGAAACGGAATGAAGGGGTGAAAACGAATATATAGAACGTTTAAATGAGCCGAAAATAGTTGGCGCCAGGACTAAATATTTCCCCATGCAATCCGTCACGTGGTTCAACCGCATTCGTGGTCCAGTCACCAAACTGAGGTCACAGCCTCCCCGGTCGTGGCGAACAATTTGCTCGGTGGAT